TAGTGTTAATACTTAAATCTTCAAGTAATCAATGAAAAAAAAAAAGAAAAAAAGGCCGGCCTTAATTTCAGATAGCAACTGTACTAAAAAGGGTTGAAATAAAATTCATACTGTGAATTTGTTAGATGTCTATTTCATTGGATCATCTTTGGTTAAAATACTGAGTTTTTATCATCCACAAATTACAATAATCTAAATGAACACCATAAAAAAGAACATTTATTTCTGAATCATCACCTAGATATGTAAAATATATATTAGTATCAGAAATACCTGATTTGGTGTCCATGTTCACATTTAACCTATTAAGGTATATTAGACTGAGCTGTACTGAAGGCAACCAGTCTGGATCACTCATATAAAAACATTGGATTTATGGCAAACATTTACTCCAATTTGCTACTATAATCAATTTCCAAAAAGCAGCTTATCCTTCACCATTATAATCAAATCCTTTGTATGGGCAACCTAACAGATTTCAGTTCTTTCTATCTGCTATTTCTCTCTTAGTAATAAGCCCACTGGTGATGAAGCAAAGACCACAGAGACAAGTGAAGGATATTACTGGAAGTTCCTAGCTGTTACTTTATAAAGAGGTGGTCATCAGGTGATAACTGTTTTTGCATAAACTGTGAGCAAGTGTAGAGTTAGTGTCCTCTGATGGTGACCAGTTCTTTTCAGATGCAGCAATGCTTTCTCCAGGTTGGGGAAAAAAGGAGCCTTAAACAAATGCTTTCTCAAATCATACTTAATGGCATACCACAACTGTCTGATTATTCAACTCAGGACAAAACATACAGAAGAATTTTAATCTTGGTACCTGGAATGTAAGAACACTTCAGGACAACTGAATATAGATCATCACTAGTGCACTTCATATATGGATCTGCTCTTTGTCAAATTTATCTCCTTGGCACAAGAAAACCATCAATCTGGTGTTGGTTATACCATAAAAATCAACATTGCCATTTATGTATCCTTCCCAAAAGTAATCTGAAGTGAATTTTGACTCTTTGCAAACAACACTTCTGTTGTTTCAGTAAGTTGTTACACTCCCACTTTACATACCCTCAAGCTAGAAATTGAAGCTTTCTATGACTAGCTCTGGTCTGTAATTTCAAAGGAATCTAATTCAAGCAAATTTGTCATCATGGGGGGAGGGGGGAAGATTTCAATGTTTGTGTGTGAAATAGCCATTAGACATGACCTGACATCCTCATATCTAATGGAGTAAGATCAATTGACTAAGGTTACTTTCCTGTTGCAATGAATTCAATCTTAGCATTACTAATACCTTTTACCAATAATCTAAACACCAGAAAATAATGCAGATATACCCTAGATCCAAGGATTGGCACATAATTGACTATATTATCAGCTGTAGATGCTATTTGAGGGACTTTCACATCACATGCTCTTTTCATTCTTGTTATCTCTTGGATCATGCACTATATGTAGTAACATATATCCATCCCCTGCCCCAAGTAATATATTGCTGTTCTTAAAAGATTAGCACTTTCCAGACTGTTAAAGTCTCTGTGAACACTGAAACCCCCAAAAAGTCTTTCAGAGACATAACCTATACAGCACCAGTTGAAGTCATAAAACTGCTTAGGAGAAGACACCAGAACTGGTTTCATGAAAACAGCTCAAAAGGTTTAATCTCTTATTGGAAAAAAAAATCTGAAAAGAGTTTATAAAGAATGCAAGTTCAATCCTCTCTGAGAAAAATGAAAAACTTGGTGGGCAGCAGAATTAAGAGGTTACTGTTAGAGAGGCTTTATAGGAGGGTCTAAAGATAGTGTTTGGGCCTGAGAAACGTAGATCATCTCCAGTATTATTCTAAAATTGTAGGACATAGAAAAGGGCATTCTCTCATACTGGAAACTGTACCTTCAAAGAGCGCTAAGCACTGAATATTCCATAGATGATATTATATCACCTATCCTTCAGAGAATAGACATGTTACAATTGCCAAACAATACAAGCTTGTAGGTCGCCAACTGTTTTCTTTCAAAGCTACTGGTAAGGATGGCGTCCCATCTATGATTGTCAAACAGGGGTCAAAAGTTGGTTTATAGGCTTCTTGAGCTTGTCATCTGGAATGTCAATGATGTACTTCTGGGTCACATCTATCACCTATCTGTTTAAGAACAAGGATAAAAAAAAGTTGACAACTCTTGTGGTATTGCCACTTTCTGTATGACTGGAAAGGTCCTTTTTCTTGTCATCCTCAACTAAATCATATACAAACTTGCTGGCAAAAACTATCCAAAAGATCAATGTGGTCCTTCTTCTGGCCATAGCAAACAAAAATAATGTTTTTTTTCCATCTATCAGGTTACCAACAAAGTACAAGAAAGGGATCAGGTGTTATACATGGTCTGACCAAGTTTTTTGACACTGTTAGTTGCAATGCCCATGTGGAAAGGGTTCAAAAATCTTGGTATATCTGACAAAATACTGAATGTTATCTAACTTCATGAGGGTATGAAAGCATCTATTATGCTAGTGGTGAATGTTCTGTTTTATTTGTTGTCACAAATAGTACAAAAAACTGTGTTATGACTTCCATATTCTTTGCCTTATACATTTCTATAATGCTTCACTACATATTTGATGATGCAGATACTAGTATAAGACTGGAATTCTGTACCTCAGTTTTGTTCTTTAAATATTAATTATGTAGTTTTATCAATGAGCTACTCATTGCCGATGATGTGGCACTTGTTTCAAACTTAAGAAGCACAGGAGATCACCGACTGGTTTTCATTTGCTATTAAAACATTTGGATTGACAATCAGCATTAAGACCAAACCAACACCCCAAAAACTCAAAAATGTTAAGCAGCAGCAAGCTCTGATTTTCAACTACATCTATCAAAGTGGATGAAAAGGAACTCAAATATGTAAAAAACTTGGTAGCAAAGTGAACAACTCTGCTTCACTTGAAGAGATTGGCAATCACATTTCCAACACAACTGATGCTAATGATAAACTCCATTACTGTTTGTAGAATGTTAAGAGGAATTTCCCTGAAAATAAAAATCAGCATCTACCATGGTCTGGTATAACATTTCTTGATGGTTCAGAAGCATAGACTTATCAAATTCATATTAAAACACTGATGTATTTCTTTGGCTACAATGGTACAAATTAATCTTTCTTGATGCAATCCCATCCCAAGTGGGATGGTCATGTAAGCATGAGTGATCACTGAACACCAAAGCACCTTGTGTATGTCCAGTTTCAAAATGGCTCACATGATAGACCTTTATTTTGTTTCAATAACAACCTCAAATACAATCTGAAGCCTCTCAATATCTTACTTTCTTCTTTTAAGAACCTAACAACTAATTGCACTGAATAGAGGAACACATGTCATAAGAGGATCAATAACTTTTAGGAATTGCATCTTGATAATTTTCAGGAGTTAAGATCAAATACCAACACTGGTTCAAACCCTTCAGCATGTAGTTCTAAAAAAATTCAGCCACTTGATGTAAGCCAGTTAGCAGTCTAAAAGTCACCTTGGGCAAAAAACACAAAGGCTGAACTTGGAGCTGTTGATCAAATATCAAAAACGGGAGAGTCCATTTTTTATATAAATAGAAAAATTATCTAAAAATATTTAATAAAACCAAAACCATTGCTAAGAAGCTTAGTTGAACTTAGTTCAACTAAGCTTCTTAGCAATAAGAATTTTGAAGACATTACTTGTTTGAAACTGACACTTACTCATAATTTGCTTAAAATTATTGTGATATGAAAAACTGAAGCAGGAACTTTATCTAAATCTGTTTTAAGTCATCAGTAGTAAATATTGGTCTGGACCCAAAACCAACCTTAATAACTATTTAGATTAATGAATCAATGTCTCATCCTTGTTTGTATACCAAGTTATATTAATTGGATGATCTATGATTTTATTCATATTAAATACATAAACGGTAATATGGATTTGAACAGTCATGATTTCTGAGCTTATGGAACTATTAGTAAATATCATAATTTAACATTTGATTGCAACCAAGATTTTGAATGATTTTGAATTGGGGACTTGTTTTAGAATTATGGAAGTAGTGTATTAAAAAAAAAAAAAAAGTGGTGAAGAGAAATTTTTTTAATTAAAAAGTAAACTTAAAAAATTTTTTGTCTTAAAACTCAAAACTTGGTTATTTCATAGTATATTTTTGAAATTACAGGAACTATATACCAGTCAGAAAACCTGCCAAATATTTTTGTAGTTTTTCTATATAAAGATTGAAATCACTGAAATTATGCAAAATGCATCTTTATTGATTAATGATAGAAGTTCCTATAAATAAAATAACAGTTATATATATTTTTAACATTTTCTTTCATAAATATTGATAAAAAAATAAATTAGTGCTTTCTGATAAAGCCCAAGCAATAAAGTGAAAAAAGAAATAGATTAAGATTTCAAAATACTGGTGGTGGTGGTGGGGGAGTGAATTAGAGATATATTATCATCCCCATAAAGGAGTAAAGAAAAGTTCTTCCTAAAATTTGCCCCAATTTTTTTTTTTTTTTTTTTTTTAAATAGAACAAACTTGGTCAGGCTGAGACTTTTTCAGCACTGTGTGCATGTATATTTTTAAGTAATAATAATAATAATAATAATAATAAAAATCCACAAAAAACAACACTGATGGGAGTATCAGTCATTTTGACTGATACTTGTTATTTAACCCTAAATAATAAAACATGAGTGAAGAGAGTTGCATTAACTTTCAATTTGGAACTCAAAGTAATGACAAACATGTTGACAATGAATGTATATGTGAAGGGAAAAACCAATTTTGTGTAAAGAAAAAGAAACAAAAATGGATTCTGAGCTTTTCTCTGAATGCTGTCTAAACTATCATGGTATCAATGGATCATTTCTAAATAATTTGAAGGATGGAATCTGTATGTGTGTGTGACTACCTTAAATTTGTCTTTAATGTTAAAAAATTCAGACTTAATGAAATTAAAGTATTAACTATCATCACTTTTTAGCCAATCTAGGACTTCTGGGGTGAAGTAACTAATCAACATTACAGCACCTGAAAGTAAAATAATATCTGTAAATAAAAATATCCTTAGGCATATTTAAAAATAAAATCTCAAAATTTCAATGTAAAAAAAAATTACGCTTTTAAGAAATTATTCCCCACCATTGTTTTTCCCCACTATTTTCATTCAGTTCCCAAAGAATGATTTTTTTTATAAAATAATCTATTTGACAAAACCAAAATAGTGTTTGAAAAACTCCAGTTAATTAAGTTTAATATAATAAACAAAAAAATTCTGTATGCTAACCTGCTCGTCTCATGGATGTCAAAACTTCCATAACAACTTGCTGGAGATTAAAAACACCAGCTTTAGCACCATGGTACAACATAGCATATTCTCCAGACACTTGGTATACTGCTAGAGGGTGGGATGGATACTGAAGGTAGAGGAGAAGGAAAGAAGTGACAGAAAATGAACTCTTTGAAGAAATGAGCAGGGAAAAAAAAAAGTCTATAAAACACTTGCATCCATTGCAAAAGCAATATTTTGTTAGCAAGAGTAATGTTAAACATTATAAAATATAGATAAAACTTACTATTACATTTTATTGAGCATCAGGTAATTTTATAATTATTAAAAAGAAATATCCACGTGAACTTAAAATTTTTTTTTTTTTTTTTTACTCAATAACACTTACTTTTGTTCGAATCTGTTGAACAATATCAAGATATGGCATTCCTGGTTTTACCATAATCATATCTGCTCCTTCTTCAATGTCTCTTTCCTGAAAAAACAATAGAAGATATTTTTTTCTTTCCTGTGCTAATATCAAGTATTCAAATTTACTTTATAAATTAAGTGATCAATTCTTTTGATGACAGGATCTCTGTAAATTTAGAGAAGCCAAAATTATACTAATACACTGTTAAAAAATAATTTTAGTATTTATATAAAAAAAAATCTTAGATAATTATTAAGTGGCAATAACTAAGCAGTAACATCAAGATAAATTTGTTCTGAGAAATGATTAGTATCAATACTGAAATTTTGATTAATTCATCCCTATAAACAAACAAGAAGAGGTACTTAAGGTTACTTCATGAGAAAAAGAAAACATTAAACTGAATTTTTGGTTTTTAGCATTAATTTTTTTTTTTTTTTATTTATTCCTTTTCATTTCTTATAAAAATCCACTTTATTAAAAACAATAAATTAATAGAAAAAATCTTGTAGGGCAAATTTATCTTTCAGCTTCTTTTCTTTGGTAAATAATGTGAACAGAAAAGAAAAAGGATTACTCACAACAGCTCTGTCTGCCAATCCTGATGCACCTGGAGGCAGTTGATAATTTTTACGATCACCAAAAGATGGCGCAGACTTTGCTGCATCCCTTTGAGAAAAAAAAAAAAAAAAAAAAAGAAAAAAAAATATTGCTACCAAAACTTTTTACCATAATTAAAAACATTTTTTTTGTGCATCAAAATGTTCTATTTTTTTTTTTTTTTTTTTATCAAGTCATCCCATAAGTTCTGTCCGAATTTTAACTTTTTGTTAAAATGAATGAAATTTAAAGAGTATTTTATAATGTCTAATGGAGCTGAACATTATTTTTATGTTTAGATGCATTTAAACTGATCAAATTTTATTTCAGAGAACAATAAAATTAAATTTTGTTTGATTAAAACCCTGTTAACATGGAAGGACCCAAGAATCATTTGAGGCACATAATGCTTTATGAGTACAAGAAAGGAAACTCAGCAGCCAAAGCGGCTAGAAACATTCACTCAGTTTATGGAGAGGAATGTGTGAATGAAAGAACTTGCAGAAGATGGTTTGCGAAATTCAGAGGTGGAGATTTCACCCTTGAAGATGAAGATCGAACCAGACGTCCAGTTGAGTTTGATGAAAAGCTTCTTGAAGCAGCCCTTGAAGAAAATCCTGCTTTATCAGTTGAGGAATTGGCAGTGGTTCTCAGTTCAAACCATACAACTGTTCATCTTCAACAACTTAGAAAAGTTCCTAAACTTGGAAAATGGGTGCCTCATGAATTGTCTGAAAACAACCTCAAATCCCGAATTGACATCTGCTCTTCTCTTCATTCGCGCCAACTTGTTTCACCTTTTTTGGATAGACTTGTGACTGGCGCCGAAAAATGGATCTTTTATCGAAATGTTAAGTGTCGTAGACAGTGGCTTGGTAAAGGGGAAGGACCCCAGCCACAGCCGAGAAGGGAACTTCATGGGCAAAAGGTTCTTCTTTCAATCTGGTGAGATCGCCAAGGAATAATCCACTTTGAATTCTTACCACCTAATGCAACAATTAATGCTCAAATATACTGTTAGCACTTAGAGTGTTTGAACCAAGCTTTGAGGAAAAAAAGACCTGCTCTAGTGAATCGAAAAGTGGTGATGTTTCATCAGGACAATGCGCGACCTCACACAACAATAATCACGTCACAAATGATCGAAGAACTTGGTTGGGAGAAAATTCCTCATCCACCTTATTCTCCCGATCTTGCTCCTTCAGACTACCATTCGTTTCATACAGAATCATTTGGAAGAAACAGCTTTTGTAACACAGGAAGAGGTTAAAACTAACATTTGTGAGTTCTTCGAATCAAAGCTAAAAGAATTTTACAGTAATGGAATTAGTAAGCTTGTTAATAGATGGAAGGAAGTCATAGATAATCAGGGAAAATACATTGTTGATTGAATCTGTAATTAAATGTAACATTTGGTCACTTGTTTTCTTTATTCAAAATTTGGACAGAACTTATGGGATGACCTGATAGTATGATATCTCATAAATGACATTATGGTTAAAAGGTCACGTTTCAAGGCTTGTCTCCTCCTTGGGGAAAGCCCCTTGACATATAAATGTCTTATCTCACTCTCAGTTATTAAATTAAAAATTAAATTGAGATAATAAAATTATCTCATTTATCAATTTAAACAATTAATAACTCAGTGAGATATTTTAATTATTAATATAATAATTTTATTAGTTATTATCTCAGTTATTAAATTAAGAATGTAATAACTTAATGTAATATTAATAATTAATAAAATTATTTATCATTATCTTAGCTATTAAATAATGAAAGAGATAAAGGTAACTCAATAATGTAAGAAATTTTTATAGTATTTTTAATTATTATAAGAAACAAAAAAAAAACATTATGTCAATTTTGGTGCACTGTACTAAACCTGTCAACATATTCAGCCATCAAATTATCAATGGAGACATGGAAATAACAAGACTCCAAGGTCAAGAAATGTTTCTCTAGAAAATTTTATGCTATAAGTGATATTTGTTTCAGAACAGATTAATTTAACTTTAAATTTGCTAATTTTACATAAGTAACGTTTCAGAAATGTATATTTTAGTGGGATTTTCAAAACCAAAGAATAAGTTCGTTTACATTTCTCTAAAAATGTTAAAAATGGCCGTTTTGATTGGTTTTTCAGAAGCATCAACTAAAAACCATTCAAATTTCTATTTGAAATATTCCACAGTATTTTTTTTTTCCTGGAATTAGAAAATTTAATCCTTTGGCTTTCAATTGAAGTGGTTGGAAAGCTTCGAAAAGGATTTTTCCTTTATGAAAAATATATTTAAACCTTAGGTATACGAATTTTTGGATGTACCTACTTTTGAGTATATACAGTGGTGGAAATAATTATAAGACTCCCCATGAAATTAATAGTTTTCTTATTACTGCACAAATTCCTCTGAAAATTTGTGTGTGGTACATAGATCCAATGGTATTAGTATAAATATTCGATTTTATAACAACTTTCCACCATAAAAGTTAAAGTTATTAAGAAAAATACGTTTTCAAGGGTGGAAATAAGCATAAGACAGTTTTAAAAATTTGTATTTAACAGCAAAATTATACAAAATTCAATATTTACATTTATTCCCTTTCAATTTTAATACTTCAACATGCCTGTTTTGCATTGAATCAATAAGTTTTCTGAGAGTTTCAGATGGAATTTCATTCCAATACTGTTTAATGCAAAATTTTAAAGTTTCTCTTCAAATTGACATTTATTTTTGTATACTCTTATTGACAAAATTCCCTACAAATTTTCTATTGGGTCTAAATCTGGAAACTTAATGGGCCAGTCCAAAACTTCAATATTTTTTATTTTAAACCAGTCTTTCATGAGTTTAAAAATGTGTATGGCTGTGTTGTCCTGTTGAAAAATGGCATTACTGGTGTCAAGACAATTCATAAATTGAACAAGACTTTTTTTTCCAACACATTGATATATTGAGCAGAGTTTTGTTTCCCTTCTATCATTACTAAATCCTTTCCTGACACAGAAAAAACTCCTCAAACCATAACAGATCATCCTCCAAATGGTCTTTTTGAAAACAGCTGCTTCTCCTTTCATAAATCATGCCAATAACACTGGTAGCCGTTGGGCCCATCCAAATTAAAAACTTTTTCCCATCAGAAAACACCACGGTTTCCAGTTTCTTCTTCATCCATGTTACTTTTTTCATTACCCAATCTATGTGCATCTTCTTGTGTTTAGCAGTTAAAGCAGGGGCTGTCTTCCTGTTTTGATACACAAGATTTGGCAATTCATGGAGAAGTTGGTGAACTCTCCTTAGAGTGCTGGGTAAATTCTGAGATTTTTGCAGATCTCTTGAGCTAGATTGTCCTTTAGAAGCTTCTCAAAAAAGTCGATGTCTGGATGCATTTGAAATTTTAGGTGGACGACCTGGATGTTTTCTGGTGCCATACGATTCAGGGTCCTTTAGATAATTTCTCACATGTGTTTGGGACCTTGACAGTTCTCTTGCAATGAAACTTATAGATTTTCCTTCCAGTTAGGAAGATTTTCATTTTCATTAAGTGGGGACTTCCTAGGCATTTTACAGTCGCTGTGTTCAATTATGAAATGGCTTAAAATCATAAGAATCTTTTTATAATCTGCACATGCACTTATTCTTTCTTTGGCATTCTGAAGTAAACCAGATATGCAAATTTTCAAAATTGTCTTATAATTATTTTCACACTCGAAAACAAAGTTTTGTTAATAACTTTTTTTGGTGGAAAGTTGTTATAAAATCGAATATGTATACTAATACCCATTGGATCTAGGTACCACACACACATTTTCAGAGGAATTTGTGCAATAAGAAAATTATTAACAATTTCATGGGGTGTCTTATATTTATTTCCACCACTATAGTAACAGGTGGAAATATTTTATATTTAAAAAAGTTGCATTCATAGAAGAAAAACAAATATAGTTACATCACTCTTATAAGCCATGATTTTTAAGAGATGTTGCTTTAAATGTTGTATGTGTGTGTGTGTATATATATATATATAAAAACATTCACAGACTATACAAAATTAGGTCAACTGTATCTCATAGAAATTATGAATTTCTTGCAAAAAGTTCTATTTAAATATACAACAATGGCTTTACTACATCAGTTTATTATATTTACAGCTAATTATATTTGAAGTTTAAATACTAGAAGAGCAGATTTCATTAGAAAAAGCATTTTAGTTATAATTTAGCAACTACAATTATCAATTAGTTGATGAAATATGATTAAAGGAGTAAATGTTTTCTTAAGCAGTTGCAAGCTGTGAGGCTGGTTGTAGTGGCAGGCAATTTGCTGTTTATACAAACAAAATAGTTGATGTTGCATCAACTTCAAATTCCAACGAGGTGTCAATTTGAACTTTGTCCACTGCTCATTACTTTCATTAGGAGTTGCTAATTTGTGGGTTATCACAGATTAAAATTTTTTTTTTACAACATCTTAATCAAATTCCTTCTTTTAATATTACCATTTTGAATAAGAACGAAAATTAATGTCATTTTTTATTTTTAGACAAGCAATTGTCATTATATTTTTTCCATTTGGACTTCTATTTCATCTTGGTGGTTATACTTATTCTGGAATTTTGTACTTGCTGGCCTTCTCAGAATAAACCCTGGGAGTAGACAGTTCTCATTCAGTTTCCTATGTTTAGGAAAATCTTTCTTAACAATTAACACTCTTCAGTTTATGTTTTGAAACAGGTCAAATGTAACAATATATGACTCTTCCACTAGGAAGCAACAGAGTAACCAAGCACATTTCTGAAACTGGCAATTTCACAATTTTCTCTTGATTCAAACAGTGTAAAGCTCACCAATTTGAATAAAAATTGTATGAAAATAAAGTTTTCTTCTTTCATGGTTTGTTGTTTGTGCAAATGTCTATAACGAAATTCAAGTTGTAATGCAAGTGCACTGATCTGGATTTCATGGCTGGTGGAAAAAAAATTCACGTTTATGCCATTCATTGACTCAAGGTGCAATAAACATGCTATTTTAAACTCTTCTAAATGGATGGAGAACTTTCCAATTTTTTTGTGTCAAACTACATTTAAACTGCTTATTTCTATTGTTCAGACACTTTATATCTCAAGAAATATCGTACATTTTGGAATCGACGAGGTAATCTGAGAAAATATTAAGTTCTACCAAATTCAACCAGTAATTTTCAATATATTTTACCTTGACATTTACATTCTGAATTTTGTTTCTGAACTTGGGGGGGGGGGGATTTAGATACTCTCTTTTCAAGCTGTGAAATGCATCCACCCACCACCACAGACTTATCAACATCATCTTTTATGTCATGTCCCTTCAGAACAGGTGTGACCAGAACATGTGTGACCAGCACGCTATTTCTACAACTTCCAAACTTTTGCTGCTTTAATAAAAGTTTATGTTCTGTCATCTATTTGTACAAGTTCATTAGGTATATTACTGTTTCCCTCTACCCATGTTGCCTTTAATATATCCTGTGAGTATCAAATTCTCCAAGCGTTTTTCCTCATTGTGTTCCAGGAATTTCAACTCTTTGCAACCCTAAGCACAAATGTCAAAGATTATCTGAAAATAAATTCCTGTCAGAAGAGATTATCTGCTAGATCCTTTTTTTTTAAAAATCCCAACAAAACAGGTTTAGGTAAACTTAGCCTAAACTAGGGCTTGCCTAAATGTGTAGTAAATGTTTTTAAAATGAAGCCTATAAATCTGGGCCTGTACAGAAAACATTACTAAAATGCACAAGACTGATGTAGAACTAAAATCATAAACTCATTTTGGCTTTCTGGACACAATTTATTTGTAGGTCATTTTCAAGCTTTTAGCAAGATTTTCTTCCTCATTTTTTAGGTAGCCATGTTATACTTTTCGAAAAGCAAAGTAGTGTTTATTTAGACATTAAACAGAAGGTAATTGTATATTCAACATCTGGTCCAAATTTAAATCAAATCTATACATTAAATCAAAAGTTACACCAGTTTTTGTATTGCTTGTACCCATGCAAGTTTCATTATGGTGGCTACATTATATTGGTTTCTAAAGTGCTCATCAAACCAATTCTGGGGAACTTGGGCCTTGATTGGATGGTGGGATAACTGGAATAACTCATCATTGTTGGAGTACATGGCATCAACAAATGGATGCAAAGTCATGAGGCAGTGCAATGTAGTGATCACTGGACAATGACCTGTTGTTTAAGTGGACCAGCTCATGTCATGTGAACACACTTCATCTCATCTGCTATAGAGTCATGTTGACAAGTGGACTCCATGACCTCATAGGGTCCACACCACACCCAAATTCAATTATCAGTTTGAAACAACTGCAACTCTGACATATCAGATCACGCCAGTCCTCCATGGTCTAATTAGTAATATCACAAGCCCAGGTGAGGCAGTGTCTGGCATTGTAGTGTTAACAGGTAAGTCTTCTGTTTCTATATCCCATAGGCGCTATAGAATGCTGAACCAACCTGCTGGATACACATCTGGTACCTTTTACATTGTTTGTTTGTGTTTTATGGCATATCAACCTCGTTGGGTTATTTAATGCCAATAATAGATATCCGGGCTTTGATAACTAGATAGATAGCTTGTCATTCATACTTCGATATAATCGAGCTTAATCGTGGAATTGGGTTAAGTTATAAAAAGGAAAAAAAAAAAAAATTTTTTTTTTTTTTAAATTTTGTTATGGATGCCGATTTCTGAAATGAAAACTGTATATCTTGTTTATGTCTGTCTCTTCAAAGACTCTTTTGAGGCTCTTATGGTTATAATATTTTTGTCTTATTTTGTTCTCTGCAGTTCCATTGTAGTAGAATTTTGTGTGATCTTGAGTTCATAATGTTTTTTTTTTTTTTATATATCCGTCTCTTCTAGGGATGTTAAGGTATTCTCATTTGCCATGTTGCTAGGGTTTTTCTTTTGTTTTTTTCTTTCCAGGGAAGATTTTGTGTGGCTTTTTGATCTATTCTTGGAAGTTGATTGTTGGCTTGGCTGGCTTTTCTTACGAGTTTGTGTGTCTTTTTGAGTTGCATTTTTTCCATGGTGTGTTGTTTTCGAGAGTTCAGTTGTGGTCGTGTTTTCTGATTGTTCTATTTTGTTGAGAAGTAAAAATCTATTTTGAGTTTTCAGGTTGTTTGTTGTAGATTCTTTGTCTTGGTTTTGCAGGTCTGTTTGGCTTCTGCTGAGGCTTTTGGTTTCCTCTTTTTGATTTTGTTTTGTGGTATTTTATGTGAAGTGTTCAGTTGTTTTTTGGTTATTTTTAGCTGTTGTCATCGTTTCAGGTTTGAATATTATGGTTAGTTCAGTAAGTAGAATTCTCAGGTTATCTATTAAAGTTAAGATTTCTTCAGATTTGCAGTTAGTTTTTTCTGTTGTTTCTTTTTTTGGATATTCAGGATGTTTATTTTCTGAGGTCAGCATAGAGGCATATGTTATTGTGGATGTCTGTGTTTTGACAATTTTTCTTGCTTCAAAGAAAAAGATATTTTGTGAATATTTTGTTTTGTTGATTTCCTTTTCTTTCTGCCATACTTTACATTCTCTTGAGCCTGCAATGTGCTCCTCTTTGCAGTTTGGACAGTCTTTCACTGCAATCTTCTGGATGTTCAGTCTCTGTATTTCCACATCTTCTACACACTGGATCTCTAGTTTCTTTGTGGTGTCCATATCTTTAGCATCGGTAACATCTAAGTGGCATTGAATATCCAATTCTTATTTCCCTGGGTATTACAGGGGAGTTAAAGGTTAATATATATATGTGTTGGTTTCAATAAGTGTACCATTTTTTTTAATAGTTATTCCTTTAACATTTTTTACTTGATGGTTTTTTTAGGTTTGTTTTTATCTCTTCCAGGGTGCATAGTGAGATTTCATGGCTTCTCACTACACCTTTGGATGAATTTAGGGTTTTGTGTAGGTACGTTTTGATTTTTATCTTGTTATCTAAGGTTGTCCCATTTAATATTTTTTTTGCGTGTGTATTTTTGGATACTTCGATTAGTATTGTTCCATTCTTCATTTTTTTTTCACAGATTCTGGTTTTTGGATGTCGGTTGAGATGATTTTCTCTATTTTAAAAGGAGATATTTTGGTAAGAGGAGTATTTTCAATAGATTCTAATACTATAAATTGATGATGTGTTAGTTCAGGCTCTGACTTGTCTGAGCTCGATTTGATATGGGGTCTTTTTGTCGTTTTTTTTTTTTGCTATGTGGGTTTGTTTTTATCTTCATCTCTTTTGCTCCCCACCTTCCTTGGAGCCAGGCAGTGGGAGATATTAGCGGGGGAAGCCCATTCACCCTATTTTCTTAAAATTTTCATATTCGTAGTATTTTTGCCAGCATTTCTGGTGTTTTTGTTTTCTTACCCCTGTTTTTATGAAAACTTATTTACTCCTTCATGTGGCTGATTTTTATGTACTAATTGATTGACCCTTGCCACCACCTTCTGACACTTATTTAGGGAATATCACATTGTTTTGAAATAGAGTTTGAAAGATATTTATTTTGTGAAGATAGGTGCTAGGGCTTGATGCGACTAGCCAATTGGTCGGATCGGACCTCTCCAACCACACGTCTAGCCCAGGTAAAGGCCAAAGTGGTGTGTTGTAGGGTCGCGACAAATTTTCACCTAGGTCATGACCAGCTCAACCACCAGGAACCCATTCCCAGGCGTCACGGGTTGCCACCCACAGCCAACAGGTGGCCCCATTGAGGGACTTTTACCCTCTGCAAGGGTGCAGTCAACGCATTCTGAAGCCCCGCCGACAGGGCGATTTTACATTGTGATTGGCTCAAATCCCATTACAATCATTAATGTAGAATAATGAAATGTTACAAGAACTGAATTCAGGAACTCAAGTTAACAAAAGTATACATAATACTTTTATAATAGGCTGACCCACCTACTAATTAAAATGAGCACTTCCAGGTTAATAAAAAAAAAGCTTGTATGCATTTGGATAGTGAGGATTTGAGTGTATTTTGTGAATCTATGCTAGTAAACTTTAACATTAAGGACTCATGGTCAGACACTATGCTGTCCATATTGGGTGTTAATGCCTTTTATCAGATATTAGAGTACACAAGCAAAACAATTGAGCAAGGGATGTCAAATGTCCCAATAATTTTAGAAACAATGTGCCATCCATCTAACACACATTATCATGCCCTATTCAAACTTGATAAGTGACATTGCCTCTACATAAGCAAGACTGATATAGATCTGGGCATTTCCATTACCTACAAAACTTTCCCTCATGTTTTGGATACAACCTAAATATTTATCATACAAAAGTACACAATGGTTAAAAGAAAAATGCTGAATTTACCTGAAAGGACCATAGAAACCAGAAGCAAATTTAGCACTGTAACTCATGATGGACACTTTATTCCCAAAACCATTTGCTACAAGTGCCCGTTTGATAGCACCAACTCTTCCATCCATCATATCTGAAGGGGCAATTATATGGCAGCCTTCAAGAGACAAAAAATTTGTGTATAAAAAACTATATGAAGGCAACAATTATTGAGAAAATAAAGTGAATACATAAACAAATCAGGACAAAAAAAAAAAAAATGATGGGGATTCTCTTTTCTAAAGTAATCTTAGGTAAACATGACATTTATAGGGATTCAACAATTTAGATTTATGAAACTACAATCGTATCACAAATACTAAATTGTACACATACAAAGGATAGCCATTAACACACAAAACTTTAAGAAATTATGACAATCTGATATCATGTTGCAAAACCTATACTATTTTCTCTAACCCTGCTACTTTTATTTGTTTGTTTTTACACTTCAAATTTAAAGTCTGTGATAATTTTGTTATACATTCTTCTATTGTAATGACATTTATTTTTATTCGTAATATCTGTCAAGATTTTGCCACTTTATCATGCAAAACCTAACTGAAAGGCTACATAAATTGCTATCAGGTGTAGTGTTATTTGTTGAATAACATACAGAAAGTAAATTTCGTTACTACTTGAGAGAGTAAAAGAATACATTAATCACTAAGAAAAAATACTGTGATAAGCACAAGAAAACAATTAGGAAACTAGCTGAAAGAAATGTGGAATAACACATAATTGCTGAATTTCAGCTTTTAGCTTGATATTGTTAGTGCATATTTAATACTTCTTCATAGTGTTAAATACTATTCCTATTGCATGGGAATACGTGCAATAAATTTTTTTTAAAAATAGCATAATTAAAGAAATTATTTCATTTGACAATGTCAACATTTTTTTCTTTATCACTTCATTATCATCTGTTATTATAATCAAATTTAATTCATTTTGAGATTTTTATTTTATTCAAAGACATTATTGGTCCATTTTAATGAGCTAAAATTTCAGAAAAGTTTTTCCACAGCTATTTCCTTATTGACAAAATGGGAAAAAAAACTTGTTGCTTACTTTATTGATTACATACCTGCTTTGGCATAAACTACAGAAATTTCAGCTAAACGTTTAATGGATTCAGCATTATTTATACTACCATCTTTATTTAAAACACCTGTAAAATACAAAGGTTAAATAAATGTAATAACATGGTGCAAATCAATTTCATGGCAATACAATCAGAATTATTTTAGTAAATCTTTATTTTCTTAAAAACATTGTGACCATAAAACCATTTAAATTGTATATAAATGCTAACTCAATTTTCATTAATCATAAAATAATAAATAAAACAAAGGAATCAAAAATATTTTGATGCAATTATCTTTGTCAGTTTAAAATTGCTTGAAATTTGTTAGTTGTTTTACACACATGCACATACAAGAAAAAATACCTGCAAACAATGTCTGATACATCCACATTTTTAAAAATATACAGGAATGCATAAAACTATCTATTCATAACATTGAGGACTGAATTTACCTTTATTCATAAGAACACAACAACATGCTAAAAAATAAAAAAAATAAAAGATTAAATTTTTGGTTCAGAAAAGCTTAAAAATAATTTTATTCCTGATAATATACAAAATGTTATGAAATGATGATCTGTAAGATTTTGAAAAAAGTATGGATATCACATGTAACCAGATCATTTCATATTGAACATTCAGAGATTTTCAATATAACAGAACTTCTTGAATGAATCCAGCTATGTTGGTCAAATTATCTAGTAAAAGGAATCACAGAATTGCATTCACAAACTTTGTGAAATTCTAAACAACCTGTAATTGTGTTTTATTATTTGTCAAACTTGAACTGAAAACATTTCTTGCTCTTTCAATTGAAATATTTCTTTACCTGGTTTGTTATCTTTTCCCAATATAATAATTAAGACTCTGTCTAGTCTGCTACAAAGCTTCCTATTGTCATATAACCAACAAAATAAATTTATAAGAAGATCATTTTGTCCATCCCAAATGTTTTAGAATGAAGGGGAAAAAAAAAGAAAAAAAAGAAATGGAATTTATCAAAAGTGTGAGAGAGAAACAATTGAGTTATTTTATTTTCTATAAAAGAACACATAAAAGAATTTTATCATTTAACAAAATGCAAGTTATGACATTCTAATATTTAAAAATAACAAACCCAATTCATTTTGCTCCTTTATGTTTGTTCATCAGTTACCATAAACAACATTCCATGGGGTTTTATAGCTGTTGACCAACAAGGATACCATATTTTTAATATTTTTTAAATTTTTGCATCTTATGGGAATAATTTTTTGCCATTTTAAACAATCATTTTGGTCAAACAATTCAATTTTCAGCAAATGTTGGCCAGTTCTTTGAATTGTGTTTGTATATAAAGTGTTTGAGGTTGCAAGGATCTAATCAAATGAATTTAGTCTTTGTGGAAACATAGATGAAGTTAATTAATGCCTTTTGCAGATTTTTTTCAATATTGTTTGGTATTGAAATTTGTTCGTTGATAAGAAAGTTTCATGCACGAAAAAGAAACAGAATTGGTTCCAAGATTTTCAGGATTTGTTCTTAACCAACCCTTTGCAGTTTCAGTACCATTTGACAAAATACTATAGAATTCATTCAAACAGTTCCATTTATCTATAATGAATTTTTACACCTCCATAGTATAAAAATAACTATTATACTTTTAGTTAAGTCAAAATTTTCCAAAGTTTTATGTTTTCTTTCTTACATTTCTTGTATTTTAAGACAACGTTCTGAATCATCATTTTTAGAGAGAACATATAATGAGATATGAAATAAGCCAGCAAAATACAATATTCTAAACTTACAGAAATAATAATATAGATATGGATATTGTTATTTTTATAAGATATGCTTTTTTTGTGCTTTCCATTGTCTCTTCTGACTTTAACATAAATGCTAGTGTGTACATATGTATATATGTTTCTCACACTTGAATGTAATCTTCAGTTGAAACAGACTGTCACGATTTGGTATTGAACTGTGTCCACTTTACTTCTATTTATTCTCTATCTTGGATATTTAGCCTATAATACAGCATACCTGAAAAAACTATATATATTTTATTATATAATCTAAAACAGCATCAGTCATCATGCAACTTTGATACCTGGTATCACTGTTTATAAAAACAAATGAAAAAAAAGAAAGATACTGAATACTCTTCCTATCAATACAGAAAAAAAAAAAAAAAAAAAAGAAACACACACACATATATATATATATATATATAAATATATATAAATATGTAGAAAGAAATTCTTTTGTAGCAAAAAAAAGAAAAAAAATTACATTATACTAATATATAATAGATAGGGATAATATTTAAATTGATAAAAATATTTAAAATTAAGAAAGAAAAAATTGCCATTTATTTTCTAATATATAAACAACTGTTTGTGTGAAAAAAAAAAAAAAAGAAAAGAAAAAAAGAAAGAAAAACTTTGAAATACCATACAAAAAAAAAAAAATAAGAAAAAATTAATGTCTAAAAAAAGATCAAAAAAAGGTCAAAATGTAAACTAAAAAGTCTCCACCAAAAGAAAGAAAAATCCAAGAAAAAACCAACCTTTGGGTAGATTTTAAAATATAAAAAAAAATAAATACAAACAAGAAAGTAAAAACATGAATAGAAAAACTATGCCCAACATATTTACAGAAAATAGCAAAGAAAGCAAAAAAAGAAAGAAAAATAAAAAAAAAAAGAAGTCATTTCAGTCTAAATTTTCTGGAAATAAAGAAAAACAGATTTTTTTTCATTCTTAGAAAAAGAAAAAATTATTTCAGTCATTGATTCTTTGAAAATTTCCTCATACATAATTCTTTGTATTAAGTTTCTATTTTTATAAGAAGAATCAATTTTGCCTTTGCCAAAAAATTCCTACAGATACAGTCCTCATCTTGTATTCCACATATGCAAATGTCAAGTTAGAGAACTTAAATTCTCTACTATGTTATTTATATTCAATGTCAAAGCATGGCTGAATAATTCATGAGATTTCAAAAAAAGTAATCTTTATATACTGGAAGGCTATTCTTTTGATTCCCCTAACCTTGCATAAAAATAAAACCAACACATCTTAAAATATAACAAGTTGTGGATATGATATTAGCTGCATAAATTTCATATCAGTCAATTTTTTTTTTTTATTGAGCATTTTTCATCCATTAAGTCTCAAATGTTGGAATATAGACTTAAAACTTTGTGCATATTTTTTAATATATACACAGCCAAAATCTATCTACAGTTGTCTTCCCAAGAACATCAGAATCAGCTAATACTTACATTCATATACAAATAGAAAATAAAAGTTCCAATACCTTGAATACATGTTTCAATTTATAAAAGATAAAATGTTTAAGCTTTAATATAGTTAGTTATTAGTGTACAAATCTAAAAATAAATTGTGAATCAACATTATTCAGACACCATATTAATATTTCATAGATGTCAACACAAGTTTATACTTTTGTATCTATATCCTTTACAGATTACATTTACCATCTAGTAATTTAAAAAAGAAAACAGTCAAAAAGTTTTGACAAATAAGCATCTATTCTATAAACTAGAATTTTTGTGGCATACTGATGTCTCTAGAAATCCTCAGAGTATTTAGTATTGTTGAAATTATCACTAACAGTTTTGTTGAGACTGACAAAGCATAACAGTTCCCTACTCTTGTTTATTTTTACAGAATTTTATTTATATATATAAAATGTGTGGATGGTCCTTCACGAAAAATTTCACCACTATAATCAATTCTCTCTCTTTATTGTGGGGCTGTCAGTTTCCTGGGAACTGATCTGCTTGACCCTAGAATATTTACGTTGTCTAATATATATGTTTATATTATATATATATATATATATAAAAATTAAAGAAAACATATTGCATTTCTATTAAATAAAATTTTCTATTTTAATCATTAAATTGCCTTTTTTTTTTAAATTTATTTTTGTATGTTAAATAATAAAACTTAATTTTTCCAAAGAAAGTGAATGAAAATTTATTGTATGTTTTGCACACTAGTAAACCAACTGCATTCCTAAAGCTGTTATTGAATGTTTACACTTCTCCTCAAAATTTGGTTTGATCTCTTATATAACTACTTTAGGTGTGATGGATGGACGGACAGACAGATGAATGGAAGACACAGAATTTTATACAAAGATTTTTTTCATAGTAACTGTCCTGATAAGTTTTTAGTTTAGTACCTCCAATTTTGTCAGTTCTTATACATTTTATAGTTGAAATCTCCTAGATATAACTATTAGATTTTATTTAACAATTTCTTTTTTGTATTTTTCTCACTTGTGGAACTCTCTTCTGGCTGCCTGATTTCCAGTCAACTTTGATCTTCAAAAATTTAAAATGCAGTTTTAGTTGTTATCTTCTGTTTCAATTCCTGTTCTTTTATTATTAGATAATCTCTAATTTTTTTTTTGATCACACAAAAAGTAATAATTATATTTTTGTGGCTTTATTTTGAAATTTTGGGTGAAAAAAAAAAAAAAAAAAAAAAAAAAAAAAAAAAAAAAAAACATACTGAATATAATAGGCCAAGAAAGGTTAAATGGTGTAAGAATCTAGATGTAAATTTAACTGTGGATGATCTTAAAAAAAACACTTTCCAAAATTTTGTTATAGTAAATTGCTTGCCATTTTATTTAAAATAGCGTTTTTTTAAAATTTTTTTTATGGTCATATTCATTACAGAATTGACTTTGTATTTTGATTAAAGATCCCTTTTGTATTCATATAGTCTTATTTAAATTCCTCAGGTTTCATTTATATATTCTTTGCAATAATTATTACAGGTGATAAGTAAATTATCTTTTCAAGTTTTGGCTTACTATTATTTTGTTTTGTATTAATTAAAAGTATTTTTTAGAAAAACAAATTTAAAAGAAATTTGTAACAAAATTTTATGTTAAGATTTAGATAAATTCTTTTCAATTGTAGTTTTGATGAAATTGGTAGTAGAATAATGTATTTTTATTCATTGGGTTTGTCAGAAGGGTCCTGTTCTTAACATTGTATGGCTAATAAAAAAAATTTATACACAAGAGAGATCAGATTATATATATATATATATAAATATATAAATATATATATCTGAAAAAAATTAGCAATGAAAATGGCCATTTTTTTGTTCCAGGACATTTTATTGAGGGACTTGTCAAGGAAAATTCAAGGCTTTAACAAATGTATTTGACATTGAAAAGTCCCAGGAAGAATTCCTTCTAAAACAAAATGGTCATCTGAATGGGGTAGTTTGGGTTTCATTTTTGTAATTACAGAACTGTTGTATATTTATAAGAAAATATATTGAATTTTGGATTTATTTTTGTGGATCAGTTTTAATATTTTATTGGGGGTGGAATAGGATTAATAGGACTACTTGGATTACTTACCCAGAGATATATATATATATTAGCAGTAGAGAACCCAGCATTGCTGGGCTTAGGTGGGACAGTAACAG